TGAAACCTACAACGGACACAAATATTATCTCTCCAAGTTTCAATACCTGGATCCCGAACATGCTGAAAAGGTGTGTTTGTCCTACGGCATGTATTTGGTGGAGGTCAACGACGCAGCCGAATACAAGTTTGTCCAGGACCTGGTCAAGAAAGATAACCCTCCAGGCCTGCTGATTTCTGGAACTGACCAAGCACTTGAGGGTACGTGGATCTACCAGTTCAGCAAAGAGCCGGTCGCGTTTTTTGACTGGTGGGGAAGTAACCCGGACAACTGGAATGGCGGAAATCTATCTATCTATATACTATTAAAACTCTAGTTTGTTTACCTGTTTTAATATTTATTTTTTGTTTGTCCGTTTGGTTACAGGAGAGAATCTGCATTATGTGTAGAGCTGGAAAATGGTATGTAGGTAGAGAACAATTTTTGTTTTCAGATAGACTGTTTATTTAAAGAAGTTAATTAATTTATCGAAGTGTCTATTCACAGTCGACTGCGAATAGCCGTATTGGGGCTATTCACAGTCGTGACCGTTTTTGATAGATTTAATGTTAAAAATACCCAACTGTGCATGAAGATGTGTGGTCGAGTGGTCATTTTCAAAATATTTTTTCACAATTAGATCTAGATAGATTCTACTTAAGTTCCTCATGGAAGTGTTATTTTTGTTAATTTTTTTTTCGTTTGTGACGTAATTGTTGGCATATCAGCAAAAAAATAAAGGACCTGTCCCGTAGATTTTTGCTAAGAGAAAAAACAAAAGTGTGATGGAAACTGAATAATAGCTGATGAAAAAGGACATCCTATTTCACCTGATATTTATTCTAGATCTATGTGATAATGGGAATTTTTAATGGTAATTGATAGTTGAATAGCAATGTGAACAACCAACTAAACTGATGCTTAGGGCCTAATTAGTATTAGGTCTATTTATTTAAAAATTACTAGATCTATTATTCTAGTGTATAGATTTAGAGAGCATAATTGATCATCTTATTGTATGACCTACGTAGACGTAGCCTGTCTGATATGAGCCAAAAAGTTAAACTAAACTTTAACAGTAATAACTTTTTTATAAAAATATAACAAAATAAAAATAGCACTTCTCTCTTAATCTATACCTCACTCCCCAGTCACAATAAATGCTTTTATTATTTTAAGATATTATTCACAGTCGTATTTAGCATGAAATGACAGCCGACTGTGAATAGCCGTATTGGGGCTATTCACAGTCGGCTGGGAATAGCCCCCATATGGCTATTCCCAACCGGCTGGGAATAGCCTTGGCCTTAATTTATTGATTTATTCATAGGTAGATTAACCACATTAATTTTTAAAGTTTAAAACATTGACTTTACTTTGAGGGAATAGTGACGTCACATTATTTGTTTACTTTTTAGTACAATAAATGGCGGCTTCAATCCAAGATTTAGTTGCTGATTCGGATGTTTAGCGCTTTCTTAAACTAATTTTCTGTCGGCTATAACTTTAACAATACGTCCGTTTTCCATTTTCATTACGTTTCAACACTATTGTCAATGTTTTAACACTTCTTTTTATTTTATAATACTATAATTATACAATACATTTCTCTAGATCTACAGATCAGCTGTCGAAGGAAGAAAAAGTTTTGAATCTAGATTTCTCTAGATCTAGATCTAAATCTAGGTCACTAGACTTAATTCTAGATCTAGACTTAATGTAAATTCTACATCTAAATCGTTGTTTAGCTTCAATGATCATCTAATTCGAGAATGCATGGGATCTATCTTGGCTAGGTTCTAGATCTAGATCTAGACTCAACGTAGTACCTAGACTTCAGATCTAGATCTAGATCTAAATTCTACATCTAGATCTAGATCCAGATTTAACGTAAATCCTACATCTAGAATCTTGAACTAGAATCATAATATACTAAACTATTTTAGGTCTTAATTATTTTATATAAATCTTTGTTTAGCTATGCAATTGGCTAATTTAAGATAAAATTTAATTTGAAATAATTCTAGATCTAATTCTAGGGTAGATTCGCGTAGATTCTTACGCCGCTTAGAAGTAAAATATATAAGTTATTAACATCATCAGAGTACGAGCCTAGATACCTATGAGGTTAGCACATTAGGTTACCATGCGGGTGGCATGGGTTCTAGACATGTCAGTGGGATTTATTTTTTTTTAATTTTAATTTTTCTTTTTTTTTTTTTTAGTTGTGATTAATTTTTCTTTTTTTTTTTTTTAGTTGTGAATGATAATGTTGCCTTTGCCTATTGGAATTTAGCGGGATACAGGGCAGGTGAAGTAGAGTTCACCTGTTTCTTTGTCCTCAGTATATAACGTGGATAGTGTGGTCAGAGCCATGCTCTTTTTAAAAGGTAAAACATGTTGTCTGAGACTTGGCGGAACACTGGGCAGGTTAAATAGTGTAGGGTCGGTGTAAAGTTCAACTGTGACGACAGCATATGAAGAGATAGTGTGGTCAGACCCACGCTCAGCCAAAATCTGTGTTTTCACAGACAAAAGCATGTCTGAGTTGGAAGGACACTGGGCAGGTGAAGTAGAGTTGACCTGTTTTTGTGACCTCAGCATATGAAAAGATCATGTTGTCAGACCCATGCTTAGACAAAGTCAGTGTTTTTAAAAGACAAAAACGTCTGAGGTGTGACGCCTTTTTGAATGTGGGAGTCTGGTTATTTTGTGATGAAAAGGTAACAGACGTAATGTCATTTATGGATGAACCCCTAAACTCACAGTTATCTAACTAGATAACGGGTAGTCTAGTGTATTACTAAAATTTCGATTCATTGTAAATATTCTGTAGGTCTCCGAAATCAAGTTTTATTGGACAGGAACGTGACTGATTAGTGGGACAAGATATTATGTAGGCCTACTACGACAAGAAATTATGTTCAGTAAGGTAATAAATGTTCGATAGATCAACAGACGTTTTTTTTTTCATAATAATTAAATATTTCTACGAACTGTGAGGTTGTGCCAATATCTCTAAACTATCCGGTTGTGCCAATATCTCTAAACTGTGCCGTTGTGCCAATATCTCTAATCTGTGTGGTTGTGCCAATGTCTCTAAACTGTTTGGTTGTGCCAATACCTCTAAACTGTGTGGTTGTGTCAACATCTCTAAACTGTTTGGTTGTGCCAATATCTTTAAACTATGCGGTTGTGCCAATATCTCTAAACTATGCGGTTGTGCCAATATCTCTAATCTGTGTGGTTGTGCCAATATCTCTAAACTGTTTGGTTGTGCCAATATCTCTAAACTGTTTGGTTGTGCCAATAGCTCTAAACTATGCGGTTGTGCCAATATCTCTAAACTATGCGGTTGTGCCAATATCTCTAAACTATGCGGTTGTGCCAATATCTCTAAACTGTGTGGTTGTGCCAACATCCCTAAACTGTTTAGTTGTGCCAACATCTCTAAACTGTGTGGCTGTGTCTTTATCTTTGTAATGTGTGTAATTATGTCAAGATATTTGGGTCTTTTTTACACCTTCATTTAATTTCATCCTTAAACAATTTTAATTAACTGAATTGAAATGCCCTGCATTAGAATCGGAGATGGTTATTTATAATTATCCAATTTAATTTTTAAGGATCTGGGTAACATAAAATTGCCAGTTGTCGTGGACTAATTAATAATTTAATTTAGTTTGCAATTGATTAAGACTAAACAAGTCAGCATACAAATCTGATAATAACCTATAAACCATCTAACATCAATTTGATGATTAACATTTCGGACCGATGAGCTTGGCAGTTAATTAAAAGGCATAATTGAAATTTTGTCAGATACATAATTATTGTCCTTATATATATATTTTTTCTTGTTAATTTTTTCCCGTGAGATCATTTGTCCTTGCGGTTATTTTTCATTATATATTTTGTCCTGATATATTATGCCGTGAGATCATTTATCCTTACAATGTTTTGTCCGTGAGATATTTTGTTTGAGCTATTTATAGTCTCCGATCGTTTGACCTGAAATGACTTGTCCTGCCACTTGTTTAAGCGTTTCGTCTCCGTCCCTGACTCTACATCGCATTAAAATCCTCCAACTGAAATTTTGAAAATTACCCGTGTCCCCCTAACAGTGGCGTAGCAACCCATTCCAGCGCAAACTATCAATTCAATGTTGCGCCTCCACCACCCCCTCCCCAAATTCAAACTTTGTTATTCATGTTGAATACCTCCTTTCCCCCCAATTCAACAAGAGGAACACAAAAACTGCAAAAAAAAAAAAAAATAGAATCCAATACAGATAGCACAAACACAACAAAACAAAACAAAAAACTAAATAAAAATGTAATATATCAAACGACGGGGCAGTCAATAAGCTAGAGCCAATGAAATGTTATGAAATGATCAATATTTTGTTGTTCCGCCGACCTCGTTTATTTTAGAACGGTGTGTAGGGGTGACAGTGTAAGTAGAATTTCTTACTGCTACTCTCTCGCTCCCAATTTTATCACTTTTACCCTATCTCCATATTAGAGAATAGTGTGAATGGGTTAACCTCTCTTTTATACGTTTATACTGATCAAAGCATTGCTCATTATTCAGGCCGAAGGAAACATATAATTAAGCATTACCATACCCCATATTACCAGCTAACAGACCCGTAATTTTTCAACTTTCGTTTTGATAATAAAAGTAATAAAATAACACTAACGCTGCCTTTACAAATAAGTGTATTACTTTAAATTCTATGTTGACAAGAACAAATCACAGGCGAAAGCATTAATTTAAATTTTGTGTAAAAACAACATCAACCTATGAGTGTAGGCTACTTAAAAGCGAAAACTGCAAAAAATGAAAAAAAAAAAAAGCTTATTTACGTCATTGTTGTAGGCCTCAAAGTAGAATACAGCGATGATGGTTGTCATGGAACTTGTATGCTTGTAGGGTCCCTGTATTAATTAATGCGTTAAATAAAGTCAAGACGTCAAAACTGAATAAAACGCACTTAGCAATGTGGAACACAAAAAGCATAGCGATGACTTCTTGAGTCAAACCAAGATATCACTGACCTTATAAGGCAATCCAGGCCTAAAATTGCCCCTTTATTTAGACTATTTTCTCAATAATGTTGAAATGACAATTTTTATTGCACCGGGAATGACATAAACATCAGATGCTCGCACACCTGTTGTATTTAATTTACAAGCATATCGTAAAACCCAGCCCACACGGCCATTAGGATACATCCTCTCGGCTGTTCCTGAAGAGATTCGACCAACATGTTGCTGTTCATCGCTCTGTTGCTTCACGTCTTCTCCGGCTTTGGTAAGTTCCACGTGTCGTAATGTTTTAGGACCTTCTACGGATTTGGTAAGTTCCACATGTCGTAATGTTTTAGGGCCTTTTCCAGCTTTAGTAAGTTCCACATGTCGTAATGTTTTAGGGCCTTCTCCGGTTTAATTTTTTTAAGTCTGTTAAAACATTAACGTTTTTCTTCGTTAGTCGTTTTTAAAGCCTTTATATAATTTTACTATTTTTCCACAGTTACTAGCAGTGCTTCTATAGATTGCCAAAGCAGTACTAATAATATGTTTGACCCCCCTGCTGATTACAACGGACACCGCTGTTATCAATCTACCTACTACTACCTAGACGCGCACCAAGCTGAAAGGATGTGTTTGTCTTGTGGCTGGTACCTGGCAGAAATCAACACCGAAGGTGAATTCAGGTTTCTGCAAAACCTGGCCAGGAATAAAAACACGGAAGGTCTGCTGCTTTCTGGAAATGATATGACCAAGGAGGGCTATTGGGTATTTCAGACCAGCATGGAACCTGTCAAATTTTTTGACTGGTCGACTGGAAATCCGTCCAACTACCAAGGTAAAGAACATTTTATGTCCATCCATCGAACGTACAACTACCAAATGAATGATGTGTCTTTTGAACCGCCAGGCAACTATAAGTTTTTGTGTGAAATGTAGATTAGGTCTGAATATGAGGTTGGCCGATGAGATTATAATATGACTTGTCAATGAATGAAAGTTTAAATTAAACATCTATATACTACTAAAACTCAAGTTTGTTTACATGTTTGAATATTTATTTTTTTGTTTTGTTTTTTTGTTTGTTTGTTTTTTTTTGTTTGTCTGGTCGATTATTGTGAATACTTCTACTCTATCTGGAGAGCTGTAAAATAGTATGTAGGTAGAGAATAATTTTTTATTGCAGATAGACTGTTAATTCCAAATTTATTTAAAGACGTTAATTAATTTATTGATTTATTCATAGGTAGATTAACCACATTTTTTTAAAAAGATTAGAAAAACCACTACACTCGACGGAAACAGTGACGTCACATGATGTGTTTATTTTTTTACATCAATAATGGCGGCCTATCGAAGAAGATTGTGTTCCCATTCCAATGTTTAACGCGTTCTAAAGCTAATTTTCCGTCGGCTTTAACTTTAACAATACGTCCGTTTGCTGTATTTATTACGTTCCAACACTTATAGCTATTTCAACTGCCTTTTTTATTTAGTTTTACGATAAATTTCTCTAGATCTACAATCTGTCCAAGAAAGTTATTTATAGATCTAGATCTAGAATCTAGATCTAGGTCAAATCAAAGATTTATTAATTATAAATACAATCCAAAAAAAACGAGACTTAAGCAAACAAGTCGTAGATCTAGAATATAGATAATTCTATCTAGATTTAGATAATAATGAGTTTCTATATACTAAAATATTTTAGACCTTTATTATTTTGTATAAATCTTTGTTTCGACTATGCTAATTTTGAAATGCTGGATCCGGGCCTATTTGCGTAGCTTAAACAATTAACACTGGGTTATATTGGCCAGATACTGAAGGCAACCTGGATGTAAAATATGCATTACGGTTTACTCAATGTATATTGATAAAATTGGCTGCAGAAGGGATAATCTCCAATGTGAAAAGAAATGACGCAAACAGCTGACGTTTGTGAGAGCATCTAACAAACATACCAGATCTTGGCCTTTACGTGTGGCTCAGTTTTGGAGCCCAGGAAATCCGCAGCCTTAAGCTGCATACATTCTGCACAGCACACAGGCAAATCTAGTAGCTTAATTTTTTGACACATCGACTATGTGAAGGAAGGGGATTTCATATGTTTATTATTATTAACATTTTCTCAGCAATTGTGTTATGGTAGCGCTGGTTTGATTCTTGGCCAACGAGTCTTTTAATTTTTATTTGACCAAAAGCTGTCTTGGCCAACTAGACTGTTTAATTCTGTTTGGTTAACACGTTTTTCCTGTCTAACCAATTTGTTTAATGTTCTGAAAATAATTTGTTTAATGTTCTGAAAATAAACGATTTTGAATTGGTTCTATTTGACTTTGTAATCACCAGATAAACAGCGGTTGCAGACATTAATTTATGCACAATGCTTAGTTAATTTCCTACAATACTATAAAATCTGGTGTACACAGCGATAAGGATAAAACCTCTCGGCTGTTCCTGAAGAGATTCGACCAACATGTTGCTGTTCATCGCTCTGTTGCTTCACGTCTTCTCCGGCTTTGGTAAGTTCCACATGTCGTAATGTATTGGGACCTCCGACTTTAGTAAGCTCAAGGTGTCATATTTTAGGCCCATTTCTGTTTTTTTAGTGCCACCTATCGCAATGCTGTAATGCAATTTCTAACTTTGTTAAGCTCTTTCTCTCATCCTTTGGAAAGTGGGAGGGGGAGATCATTCAGTCGTGTGATATTCGAGTTAAAAAGCGCCATTTTATATCCAAGCAACTCTAGTAGATTCCTCCCTTAAGGAAGGCTATTTACTCTTTATTTGAAAGTTACTTATAAATCACATTCATACATTCATTCAATCTACAATTATGATACCTTTTTATAACACGGTTGAGATAATGTTTCTTTTTTAGTTTCAAGCTGTGATTATGGGTATCCAACACCCATCGGTAATCTGTTTGAATCAGCTGCAACTTACAAGGGAAACAAGTATTATCTCTCCAAGTTTTACTACTCAAACGTGGATCAAGCTGAAAGTGTATGTTTGTCCTACGGCATGTACTTGGTAGAAATCAACGACGCAGGCGAATACAAGTTTGTCCAGGACATTGCCAGGAGAGCCAGGACTAGCGGTCTGCTGATTTCTGGAACTGACAAGGCCCAGGAAGGTACATGGATCTTCCAGTTCAGTAAGGAACCCGTCAAGTTTTTTGATTGGTATGGACCAAATCCCGACAACTATGGCCGTGGAGAAGATTATCTATCACTAAATAGTGCCTTCCAAATGAATGATTTCTCTTATCTGCAGCCTGGAACTTATAAGTTCCTGTGTGAAAAAAGTGGCTAATAAAAAAGTTTTGATCTGAAAATTTGGTTGTTTAAGTTAAATGAAAAAAGCTTGGCACTCATGATTGTTTTTGATTAAACAATGATTTAAAATCTTTCTGAATACTTTTCTTGACTTTTTGTTTTTAGTCTTGAGTAGTTGTTGTTGGGTGTTTCTTTTTCATTTTTTTTGTTGTTTTTTATTTTTAATACTGTTTAGCTTAATTTAAGTTTATCTTCTTTTTGGGTTGTTTATTTGTTAACAACGAGAAAAAACAAATGGGGGAGTAAACAAGAGACTAAAATGTATGGAAAAAAATATTGTTACATTGGTTAAAATGAATGGTTTAGAATCTAATATATAAAGCTCAAACGAATTCTCTGTCTCTGTATGTGTGTATTTGACGGACTGACCCGTGACACACATGCATGTAGTAAAAAAAACTTGAATTGATTCTCAAAGTGTATTATTCTTAAAGTGTTTGTCATCTAAATTAGTGATTTAAAAAAAAATTGTTAGTTTTGTAAAACAAGTTTCATTTTTCAAACTTATTATTTAATTAACGTCTTGTGGAATAAACAAACTCAAAGTATTAATTATCGTCCTAGATAGATCACAAAAAAAATATTTCTTCACTTTCAGGGGTTATAAGCGGTTTCTTTCTAATTTTTACAATTTAAGATCTTAAGCATTTAGAATACTTTTATCATGTTTTATCACAAGAAAGTACTTAACAGCAAAAACGGGTTGACAGCAATTTTGAATATTTCAATACTTTTAAAAATGCTAAGGCTTTTTAGCTATGCACTTATAGCAATCAAATTTAAATTGCTTATATTACAGTATATATTAAAACTTTTTGAAATAGTAAGAATTTTACAAAGTCTAAAATATCGTATCCTTTTTAGTATTCACAAGTTTCAAAATGTGCATATTAATTACCAAATACTTTTTTCTATGAAAGCAATAACAATTCCCTCTTGACAAAAGTTGTATTTTTGCATGAAGAAAACTTACTGAAAATATGGTTGGCTTTGTTTAATAAATTAAAAAAGTAGTAAGCTTTTAATTTTTAAAACCTGCGAACTGGGAAAAACAGCCAAAAGTATCGAAAAGTAGGTCACTAAAATACCATATCTGTTTAAACTGCGAATCCGATTGTAAACTTTGGGTGTTTCCGAGATGATAGAAATTAAGATTATCAAATAAAGGAGAAACCCAGCTTTCCAATGATGCCAGATACAATATGATGCCGGATGTAAAACTTTTCATAGGGATCTTGTAAGATTTGGAAAAATTGTTTTCTTTTAATTAATAGGGTCATAAAAATTGTAATTTAAACAAATAACTTTTATTTTCTTTATAGTTATTATTTTCTTATTACAAAAATTTGACAAAGTATCCCAAAGTGCAAGAACAAAATCATGAAACAGGAAATTTTGTGATGTTTTACCGCGCATAACCCCTTATATATATATATATATATATATATATATATATATATATATATATATATATATATATATATATATATATATATATATATATATATATATATATATATATATATATATATATATATATGTATATATATATATGTATATATATATATATATATATATATATATATATATATATATATATATATATATATATATATATAAATATGTATCTATATATATATATGTATATATATATATATATATATGTATCTAAATATATATATGTATATATATATATATATATATATATATATATATATATATATATATATATATATATATATATATATATATATATATATATATATATACATATCGATGGTCTCGGTCGCAAACCGTCTAACTCCGAAAATGTAAATTTTACAGGAGAGACAAAAAACTGATTATTTCCTTCTCGATCGTTCTAGTACTATTTTTTTTTAAAGATATCCCCGAAGAAACTCTCTACCGACTATACTGTAGCGTTTTAAAATGGGTTTTGTTGATATTTACAAAATTATAGCGGGTTTAAAAAGATAGACGGTTTGCTCGGTCTAAAATTCAAGGTGCAAACCGTCTATCTGTTCGCGCGCAGACTTAGCTGTTTTGAGCCGAGAATTTCGGTCTCAGCCGCGTTCGTTCGTTTTGTCCAATGAACGTGATTTAGTTATGTTTATGTTTTTAAGTTATAATTAACACTTCATAATATTTAGATTACAGTTTTGGGCTCATACTTTAATTATTTGAGTTTATTCTACATTATGGGGTCAGTTTAATTTTTAGTAGAGATGTTTTAGTATGGCTTTATCGCTTTCGACTGTATTCATTATGTCTGTATTTAGCACTAGACTTGTTAACTGTTGAATGTTATGCTTTATTTATTACATCTTTCTATTCTCACAGTTTATTTTACTAAATCTTGTGGGTGCTGGGTTTATAGAATGATAATAGTAAAAACAGAAACCTTATTGTCTGATATATTATGAATGAGACATAACATATTAATCACATTAATAATGACTTAACGTTTACTTACTTTACAAAAATGTAACACATAAAAATGTGTTTATTTTTAAAATTTATTCTTTGAATAAACGTCACATAAAGAAAAATTAAAATGGCAACATATTTTTAAAATCAGGGAAATCATCATAAAAAGGTGTGTTTATGACTTGCTTTTAGGTGCTTAAATATGACAGCTTTTATCTTTTTTATATATTATATATGTATATATATATATATATATATATATATATATATATATATATATATATATATATATATATATATTTATATTTATATATATATATATATATATATATATATATATATATATATATATATATATATATAGTCTTTTTCTCGCCTCTCCACTTAACCAGAAAACCGCAAGATTGGTGTTAGAAATGTTGGATTCTTAAAAGGAGTCGAAATGTTGCGACGTGTTGTATCGGCAATGTGTTCAAGGATGAGCCAAAATAAACACCCAAAATGGCGTCCTACCTCTACCATGCCACTTCCCTCTCCCCTTCACCCACAAGCTCATGTGTGATGTAACTTCTGTTGTAGTGTAAAAAGTTTAACACTAGAATGAGCACGCAATGAACCATGTAGAGACAAGTGGGAGTAATGCGGGTTGTTGATGACTGTCTACATGATGAGTCAAACAATATGCAAATAAGGTTGCACGTGCTTAAAACGTTAAATAAATGCAATAGAATTAAGTTAACCTTAGACAAGAGTGTAGCTCGATCTAGTTTGTTTTGAAGGACAACACGGGGCAGATGTCTTCAGAAAATATCAGGTTTTATTTTTTGTCGACTAAAGTTTCTGGTCTTTTTAATAAACGTATATTTTTCACTTCATGTTTGTCATTTATTATCCCATGCTCTGGATTTATTCAGAAAGAACAGCTTAATATGTGCGATCGTTCAAGTTTATTAAAAAAAACTGATCCCTTAAAGAAATCAAATTTTGAGACTTTTATAACACATTTAGAGAACAACGCTCCTACTCAAGTAAGACACTGTCACTTAATTTTATGTGTGAACTAGACGACCCAGTTTCTGGTTGGAAAACGGTATGCCTTTGGGAAAGTGACTTTCGAGCATTTGTCGCATTCGGGCAAGTGTTCATTCGGATTTATTTCGCTTTCGATCAAGTGTCCATTTGGGCATTTTTCGCATTAGAGCAAGAGTCTATTCCGGAAAACTGCCTTCGGGCAAACGGCCTTCGGGCAAGTGTCTTTCGGGAAAACATTCGATTTGATATATTTATTAGAGGGCTCCAATCCCAACATGTAGTCTGAGAGTAATTATTGTTTTGTTCCCCGCGTCTCCCCTTTGATCTACCAACCTCTAAAGTCGTTAATCAGGTGTGAATAATTAATCTTAAGACTAGAACTTACTGAACCATGCAGAGATAACGCATGGGTAATTCGCTATTTTGTTACATCAAAATAGGATGACTAAACAGACAAAAAATATGCTGAAGCATGCATACAACAGATGGTGTTCTTTAATTAATGAGACAGTGCAGGGTGTTCTCTGGCCCCTGTGAAAGTACGTGGTGTTTTTCTGGGTACGGAGAAAGTACATGGTGTTATTAGTTTACTAAGTAAATACATGGTGTTGTTTGTCATCGTGCTCAATATTTCAACGATATTCTGACGTTTTCGCCGTCTGGCACATTCCCACTTCAACATTAACGGGTGTAGAATGTATAATAATATCCTTCTGGATTCATAATAAAATAAATATAAAAATCTTTATAATAGCAAGCTTCAAAATGCACTGAAGTAAGAAAATAAACCCTCCATTCATCTCCAGTAACATTGCAAGAATTTATATGGTTTTAATCTTATTATCAATTTCGTTAGTCAATAAAAATACATTTGAAATTTATTAGATTCAATAATAAAATGAGAGATAAAAATAGTAAACAATAGCTATAGCTCAATTAGCAAACTGACGACAGTGACCTGTTTTTGAAGGCTGGTTAATTTCTCGCACGATAGTCTCATTGTGGGCCAAGAAAGAACAAAAAAATCGCTTGTAGTACTTGCAGCTACTGATCGGGTTTTAAAGCAAATATTTTCGCCGTAGACCTTTGGTGCTAAACTTCATTTACAACGTATTGGTAACAACTGAATAAAAAAATCTTCGCAATAATACGTTTTTAAAAACACTGAAACAGTTTTTTTTTTAAAAAGTGACTTCTTTAATAAAAGCTTTCGTCTCTAAATATATCTGATTCGCTGATAGAGGAACCGAATGTCTGACTGAAATTAACGAAAATGTTCGATCCCTATAAGAAGTCAAAATGTGTCAAAGTGTTGTGACGACACAATGTTCTCTAATGAGCCAAAGTAAACAACAAGAGAAGAAGAATTTTAAAATGTTACTTTAGACAAAATTCATCAAACCCTACATGGCGTCTGTGTGCGGGTCTGTTCTAATATTTTCACTGCCCATTTCACCAGCGAGCTCATGTGTGATGTAGCTACTGGTGTGGAATTGCAAATTTAACGCTCCGAGGCGCACGCAGCAATCCATGTAGAAGTTGTGGGGGAGCAATGCAGGAAGTTGAAGCCTGTCTACATGATGAGTCAAACAAAAATGCAAATAAGGTTGCACGTGCTAAAAGCGCTCAGTTAATAAAGACACAAAAATTTAATTTAACTTAGAATAAAGTGTCATGGATATAGGCCTACTTTGTTTAAAGGACAACATGGACAGAAGTCCTCAGCAAAATGTGTGATTCTTTCAAATATTTTTTTCTTTCTGTTTGTAGTTTATTGTCCGTCCCAATACACTGGGGAGAATATATAACACAAATAATAATTTATGTTTTAAAAAATACGGATACTTTTAAAAAAATTATAATTTTGCATTTCTCACCAATTTCAAAGATCAAAGCTTTTATTTAAGGAAGCCAGTATCTTTTTTTACTTTGTTACTGTCATTTTAGTGTCAAAATTGTGTTTTCATTTCTAAATAGGGATGTTGGGTGTGGGAGGCGTGGACTGGATAGTATTTATTTTAAAAACTAATTAACTGAGTTAGAAAGTAACTTAAATATAAACTAAATCTAGTAACCTTCAATTGATTTTAATATAATTCAAATAAAAGTGAAGATTTCGAATAAAAATGAACCCAAAAATATAAACTTATAATAAATTAGGTTTCACAAAATGGACGACCTTTTAAGCTTGTAAACCTCTGTCACTGAAAAAAATAGGCTGTTTTTATCTATTAGTTTTTATATGCAAAAAACATTTTATATTTACAAAATAACATTTTATATTTACAAAATAATATTTTGTAAAATTTACTAAAATAATAATTTTTACTATGATTTTTTGGTTAATGATTTTTCTCAAACAAAAGTGTAACTATGCAAAAACTATCGGAATAAAGATTAAATGTATTCTACGAAAATTTAGTCGCGGTCTAAATTAGATATTTAGAGCCCCGGCAGATGTTCATCTTATACGAGAAAAAAGGAACATGACAAATAACATCGTCAAAACACACCCGGAAAAAGATTTAAATGGACTGATTGATGACAAATGTAAAGTGTAAATAAGACAATCGCATAGAGTGAAGTATAAGCTTAGTTTATCACGGCCAGTGAATAGAATAGGGGATATTTACTGTATGCAAAAAAGCTTCGTGGGATGGGAGCTTCAAGAATATATATATATATATATATATATATATATATATATATATATATATATATATATATATATATATATATATATATATATATATATATACTAAAAATTTTATTTTTATACAAAAACCTCTTACATTTTAAAATAAATTAATTTTATACTGATGGTTAAGGTAAATTTTGTCAATAGTTTACAGTACATGAAACTATATCACAGGGTTTTTTTTTAATAGCCCAGTATAAGTAACCAGAGAACACAAAATTCTATCTCAGTGATCAGTGAACACCATGTGTCTCTTTTTCAAGCACATGTCAGCAAATTTTTCATTTGTGTGCAGTCATCTGGTAGAGATATATCGAAATGCCGCTTTACCCATGCGTTATCTCTGCATGGTTCAGTAAGTTCTAGTCTTCAGGTTAATCGTTCAAACCAGACTAACGGATTTAGAGGTTGGTGTATTGACGGCGGGGGAGGGGGGGGGAGGTGGTGAGAAGAATGGGCGAATTGAGACACCATTTTGGGTTTGATCACTGTGCTAAGTACATCAACACAAGATAAGAAAATATTCCCCATCTCTCAATAATACTTGGCCTCCCCAAACGCTTTCTTTCAAATTAAAACTTTTTAGAATCTAGTAACTGTATTTTACGACCATACACATTTTAAAATTCTATTTGTTTAACTTTATTGATTGGCTACTGTTTCTGTTCAATGATCTAAGATCATACGTTATAATCTTATATAAAAATATGCTGGTCAGAAGAAATTAAGCCCAATAGTTATAGGGATAATAAAGCATAACAGACCTCTGTCAGTTTTATTTTCTCAATTATTTTCGTGGCCAATTAGTCTTTGCAATATTGTTTTGGCAAAACGCTCGCTTGGCCAACTAGAATATTTAATTCTGTTTGGTTAACACATTTTCCTTGGCCAAGTAAATTGTTTTAATGTGCTGCATATAAACGATTTTTAGTTGGTTTTATTTTAATTTGAAATTACCAGATAAACATCGGTTGCAGACACGCAAACTGCATAATTAATTTACAGTTTTACTATAAAACCAGGCCCACACAGCCATTAGGATACATCCTCTCGGCTGTTCCTGAAGAGATTCGACCAAAATGTTGCTGTTCATCGCTCTGTTGCTTCACGCCTTCTCTGGCTTTGGTAAGTTCCAGTTGTCGTTGTGTTTTAGGGCTTTCTCCGGCTTTAATAAGTTCCCCATGTCGTAATGTTTTATGGTCTTCTCCGGCCTTGGTAAGTTCCAGATGTCGTAATGTTTTAGGGTTTTCTCTGGCTTTGGTAAGTTCCAAAGGTCGTAATGTTTTAGAGCCTTCTCCGATTTTGGTAAGTTCCACATGTGGTAATGTTTTAGGGCCTTCTCTGATTTTGGTAAGTTCCACATGTGGTAATGTTCTCTGACAAAAACCACAAGCTTAGCACTCTTTCCTTCCCTCTCTACATCTAATTAAATCGTATTGTTTAAGAGGTAGGCACCTATATTTAGATCGCTGGACAGTCGGGTTATAATTACTGTCCAGCACTCACAGTTTCTCTCACATTTATTTTCTATGCTTAAATTTACTTTTATAAATAAAAACAGTTCAAATTCTTAAAATTTATTTTTATTTCATTTCATACCTCTTAAATAACTTTGTCATATTTTTTTCTCACTTTTCAAGTTTTCAGTTGTGATTATGGGTACCCAACACCCATCGGTAATCTGTTTGAATCAGCTGAAAAGTACAATGGAAACAAGTATTATCTCTCCAAGTTTTACTACTCAAACGTGGATCAAGCTGAAAGTGTATGTTTGTCCTACGGCATGTACTTGGTAGAAATCAACGACGCAGGCGAATACAAGTTTGTCCAGGACATTGCAAGGAAAGCAAAACTTGACGGTCTGCTGATTTCTGGAACTGACAAGGCCCAGGAAGGTACATGGATCTTCCAGTTCAGTAAGGAACCGGTCAAGTTTCTTGATTGGCATGCACCGAATCCCGACAACTATCTGGGTGGAGAAGATTATCTAACCCTAAATAGTGCCTTCCGAATGAATGATTATTCTTATCTGCAGCCCGGAACTTATAAGTTCCTGTGTGAAAAAAGTGGCTGATAAATAAGATTTGGTCTGAAAATTTAGTTGTTCAAGTTAAATGAAAAAAGATTGTCATTCATGATTGTTTTTGATTAAACAATGATTTAAAATCTTTCTGAATACTTTTCTTGACTTCTTGTTTTTAGTCTTGAGTAGTTGTTGGGTGTTTCTTTTTCATTTTTGTTGTTGTTTTTTATTTTTAATTATGTTTAGCTTAAGTTTATCTTCTTTTTTGGGTTGTTTATTTTTCAACAATGAGAACAAAACAAATGTGAGAGTGAGAAAGAGACTTAAATGTATGGAAAAAATCATTATTACATTTGTTAAAAATAATGGTTTAGAATCTAACATATAAAGCTCAAACGAATTCTCTGTCTCTGTATGTGTGTATATGGCGGACTAACCAGTGGTACACATGCATATAGTAAAAAAAAAACTTGACTTGCACTTTATAGTGTAAAATTCTTAAAGTGTTAGTCAACTTAATTACTGATTTTAAAAAAAATTAATATTATTAGTTTTGTAAAGTAAAGTTTCCCTTTCAAACCTGATCGTCTATTGGGCAAGTGAAGTAGAGTTCACTTGTTTCTGTGACCTTGGCATATGAAGAGATAGTGTGGTCAGCACTATGCCCAGCCGCCTTTACTTTCCCTAACGTGAGTTAGGTACCCATCAGAGTTGGGTGGACTCAGGGACGGTCTACTGACTTGAACCCGGATTCGAACTCGAGACTTACGGGTTAGCAGTCCAGCTCTCTACCGCTAGATCTAACTACCGTCCGGGCAGTGCAAGCCCGGCTAAACCCAGACTGGTTAACAACCTTAACCTTAGTCTAAATTAAACAAAAAACTTTAACAATTTAATAAAATTTATTGTGCAAATGGAACCAATTATATTATAATGTAAATGAAAAAAAAGATTTAAAAAAAACTACATACACAAAAAAACAAAACTTGATACACGGCTAGACAAAACAGACTTTAACGTAAGACAACAAACTTTTTTAACCAACAAAAAGAATACACCACGTGTGTAACAGACATGCCGATGCAAACTATCTCGTTTTAGACAAAAAAGAAATAAAACGAGAACACATCGGCATTCGCATTCATACAAATCATATAAAGATAAAATATAAAAAAAATCAAATACCTCCAACGCACGAAGTGCGACCACAGACAACTGACTTTACCTACATTCTTGCGGTCAAAAAGTAAGAAATGACCCGAGCCACTGTCCAGTGGACCATCCACGCACAGATTTGCACACAATTAAAATAATAGAAAATAAGTAATCCATTCACCCGCTCACATTCACCCCTGTTTTAAAACTTACAGTCCCTGTAAGCAAAAAAATGCATCCAATAAACTTAATAAAACAGATTCACCCTATTTCTTACATCAAGCCTATAAGCTTGAATGCAAGAAAAAAACAATTTCACAATAAGACATAATCTAGTGTCATTGCTCCTAAAAATAAATTCTGACATTGTACTAGAGGCACCAAGATAATGTTCCCTACACTGAGGGCTGTAGCCGCGCTGAGTTAGCGACGGGAGGGGGGGTCCGTCTAGACCCGCCGGCTACTAATGGCACACGTTGCTGAGTGCACAGCTGCCTGGCCATACCAGCCACCTCGGCCCACTGTACCACACACCGTTCTGGCTTCAGCGTAAGACCACCGGTAAAGCGTCCGCTTAGTTGGTCAAGATATGACGCAACCGTCTTGCACTACTGGCTCTCGTGCTGTTGCCCGCCTCCATGACCGTGTGTCCGACTCGACACACCTGTGGGGCGGGTGTCCAGTAGCCCTCTTTGTGGGTCAAGGGGTGTTCGCTGTAGGCCTTTCGCTGATAGGTCTGCCTCACACACCAGATCACGCGCCACACACCGCGCCTTGTCCCGCCTAGCACACTGGAGGCTCACCAAGGCACGTGTCTCCGCCAACCAGACTGGGTGTTTAAACAACAAACAATCCCTACACTAACATAAACTAAACACATATGGTTCCAATCAAAAACAAAAATTTAACTAAGCTACACCTAGCCCTATCAACAAAAAAAAATTTAACTAGACTAAAGCACTGACCCCACTCGTGCTACCAATTTGTAAGCCCTGCTAGGGGGGGGGGGATACTTAAAAATCTACCCTTTTGGGCTTATCTATTACTGTCCGGTCAGTGCAAGGATTGTAGGAAAAAAAGTCACAGGAAAAAAAACACAGAAAAAAAACACAGAAAAAAAGTCACAGGAAAAAAAGTCACAGAAAAAAAAGTCTCAAATATATATTTGCATGATATTTGTTAATACTTTTATGTATTAAATATTTAGAGAGTGCAAATTAACTTAGGATCAATTAAATGTAATGTAGTATGTGTAGGCTGTATACGCATAGGAATTTTTATAATTCATCTAAAAATATTTATTATGAAGTATGTAGATTGTAATTATTTTAAACTTAAGATTAGTAGCATTTAATAGAATGCCAATTAAATACCAATATTAAATTACCGTGAAATGGTAAGTTCATCTGACTTGCTGCCCTCAACAATAGTTATGTTTAGTTCAACCACCTTTACTGCCCACATTTATCACGCTCATTACATAACAAAACTTAGGATCAAAACAGAAAGCCGACAAGGTTCAAAGGCTACCATTGACGCGTAACGTCAACAACACAAAATATGTTCGGACAATGCCTACTGAGGAGAGGCCGACCAGAGAATAGCCTACGGCTAAATGTGCCTAAATTTCTTTTATATGTAACTTTTCTACCGCGTATTTAACTAAATACGTAACAAAAGTTGAGATTGTTCATCATTGTTGTGTAAATTATCTTATCTTAGAGTATTTTCACTACAATTGTTATAAACCATAAAGCTTTTAACGTTAATAAATAATTTATGCTATCAAAAAATACAACCCACAACAATAAACATACAGAATTTTACAATTCTAAACAAATTAATACAAATATTTCTACAGAGATTTTTGTGACTTTTTTTCTGTGACTTTTTTACGATAAAATCTTTCCACTGTGACTTTTTTCTGTGACTTTTTTCTGTGTTTTTTGTTTTACAAAATAACAAATTCATTATAGAACCAATCTTCATACACAAGGAGCAGCACGAAGCCATTGGTCTACCTATACAACATCCATATTGCTAACATTGAAGTTAACACACTCCGCTAGGGTCCCAATGAAGGTAGACACCAAGAAAGCGATACTCAACATGACGTTGCACGAAACAGCACACACAATAATTTTAAACAACCTAAAAGTTGAGACAAACTAAAATATACTCATTACTGTCTAAAACAACCGACTATTACTAAGCCATAATAAAGTAAAACAACCAAGTAAATGCACACACGCATTCGCACCAGTTTAGGAAACCCTCCTAAACATAACGACCTAAACCACGTGGTCTAAAACACAAGCCAAGGGTTTAGAAAATACCAAAATACATTTTAAACCAGCAAAAAGAATACACCACGTGTGTAACAGACATGCCGATGCAAACCATCTCGTTTTAGACGAAAAAGAAATAAAACGAGAACACATCAGCAGTCGCATTCATACAAGTCACATAAAGATAAAATATAAACAAACAAATACCTCCAACGCACGAAGTGCGACCACAGACAACTGACTTAACCTACATTCTTGCGGTCAAAAAGAAAGAAATTATCCGAGCGGTCAGCTCTTATACTGACCACTTCGGGCGGAAGGAGAAACCCCGTTGCCGCTGTCCAGTGGACCATCCACGCACAGATTCGCACACAATAAAATAATACAAAATAAATAATCCATTCACCCGCTCACATAAAATACTGAAACAATTTTTTTTAAAAACGTGACTTCTTTAATAAAAGCTTTCGTCGCTAAATATATCTGATTCGCTGATAGAGGAAGCGAATGTCTGACTGAAATTAACAGGTCTACGTGCTACAAGGGTGAAAAATGTTCATTCCCTATAAGGAGTCAAACTGTGTCAAAGTGTTGTGAAGGCACAATGTTCAACGACGAGCCAAAGTAAGCAAGAGAAGAAGAATTTTAAAATGTTACTTTAGATAAAAATCATCGTAAAGTCAAACTCTAGATGACGTCTGTGTGCGGGTCTGTTCTAATATTGTCACTGCCCATTTCACCAGCGAGCTCATGTGTGATGTAACTACTGGTGTGGAATTACACGTTTAACGCTCCGCGGCGCACGCAGCAATCCATTTAGAAGTTGTGGGGGAACAATGCAGGAAGTTGAAGCCTGTCTTGATGAGTCAAACAAAATGCAAATAAGGTTGCACGTGTTAAAAGCGCTCAGTTAATAAAGACACAAAAATTTAATTTACCTTAGAAAAAAAGTGTCATGGATATAGACCTAATTTGTTTAAACGAAAACATGGACAGAAGTCCTCAGAAAAATGTGTGATCCTTTCAAATAATTTTTTTTCTTTCTGTTTGTAGTTTATTGTCCGATATACTGGGAAGAACAATATAATACAAATATCCACTCTTGTTTTATAAAATACTGATACTTTAAAAAAAATATATTTGCATTTCTCAACAATTTCAAAGATCAATGCTTTTATTAAATAAAGCTAGTATTTTGTTTTACTTTGTTACTGTCATTTTAGTGTCGAAATTGTGTTTTCATTTCTAAAATGGGATGTTGGGGGTGGTAGGGGTGGAGTGAATAGCATTTATGTTAAAAACTAATTAACTGAGTTAGAAAGTAACTTAAAGACAAAATAAATCGAATAACCTTCAATTGATTTTAATAAAATAAAAGTGAAAAATTCGAATAAAATTGAACCCAAAAATATAAACTCATAATCAATTAGGTTTCACAAAATGGACGACCTTTTAGGCTTGTAAACCTCTTTCATTAAAATATAATAGGTTGTTTTTATCTGTTTTTATCTATAAGTTTTTATATGCAAAAAATAATATGTTTTAACATTTTATATCAACAAAATAATATTTTGTAAAATTTATTAAAATAATGATTTTTACTACGATTTTCGGTTAATGATTTTTTCAAACAAAAGTGTAGCTATACAACAACTATGGGCCTAAAGAT